CACCTCCAGGGAATTCCCCACCACTGTGGACATGATAATTAGGAACAGATTTATAGAAAATAAAAGGTTTACCAGAGATCATGGAGCAGAACAAAAAAAAAGAGAGTCATGAGGACTATGTCATAAGGAAATCTGTGCTGTCATTACCTGGTCAACCATATGCTTCAAGTATCTGCTGAAACTGCAAAGGGGAGGTTTCCAGGTGTGTTTGTACATGCATTTAAGTAAATATATAGCTACATGTTACATATACATACAAAACAACCACATTAAATTAACTCCCTCCTGATAATCTGCTTCTCCAACACAGAACAAGTCACTTTCAGAGGATTAAGAGATCATCGAAGAGCTAGAATATACAAGAGGTCCTTTTGTGGTAAGAAAAAAAAAAAAATTAGTAAGGCAACAGCTAAAACTCTGGAATAACGTTCTCCCCTCCCTTCTTCCCTCTCTGCGCTTTCAGGCAAGGCTACAAAAAGCCTTCACCAAAACAGAAAAATGATGCTTTCAAAACACATCATGCACACACACACAGATGAAGGCAGCTGGGGCAGGGGGCGGAGAATGACAAACAGATAAACTCATGTTGAAACAAAAAGAATCACTTTTGGACAAGTCTTTGGATGAGTACAAAGAATAGATGCCCTTCTGAAAGAAGATGAATGAAGGAAAGTCCCACCTTAACACCCTAGATCTCTTCCAATTTTCTTGCTAACATGGTGGAAGAAAAAAAGCTGTGTTTACTAACAATTCATCCACCTTGCACCAAGTTAAGGTCACCCACTCACACAAATATCCCCAGGAAATGTAAAATATCTATGAACTCCATGAGGCATTTCATCACTGCTAGATGATTTATCACACACACATTTAAGTAAAATGTTTCAGACATACACACAATGTAGGGGACAGTGCCAACCCTTTCAGAAAGGGAAAACAGTACAATCAGAACCGTAAAACTTATAGGGAAAAGGTGAGAATGCATTTGGTTTTATCAGGAAACATAAATTTAAAGTCAGTTACATTCAGTATCAACTTAGTAAAAGGACAGGGAGGCTGAAAAAGAGTAATCTGAAGAATAACACATGAGTGACCCACCAGGCTCTTTCCCCAACAACTGTTGGCCAGCAATCCCATGTAGCAGAGCAGTAAAGATCACAGAAAGAGGCCACTCTTTAGGGAAAAGAAAGCACTTACCCTCCTTGGGGATTCCAAGACTTGCTGTGCTGATTAAAAATGTGTCTACAGAATAGTTATTACAATACAGGTGATTTCCTCTTTGGATCTATAACCCAAAACCTAATGATAACAACATCTTTGGAATCTACTAGAGACTGTGGCCTCGCTATCGAAGAGCTCAGTTCAGTTTTTGGGTAGGACAGCTTCAATGTGATCATAAGCTTTTTTCCACAATTCCCAGCACAATTCTTCAGTAAAAAGACATAATGACCTTAATAATGATTAAACCCACCTAGGTGCTTTGGTTAACACAAAGCATTGCTCAAGCCTCATTAGTCCTAATTCTCACTTTTCTCTTTCACAACTGTTCAAAACACCCTTCCAACAGCAGAAAACATATCAAATATATAAAAATACATTTTCAAGTTTCATAGCCAGTATGTAAACACATTTTAAACATTTTGGCAGTGAAGGAATTATGTTTATTATTGAGTGAAAAACACACATCAGCTGTAAGAGCAAAATTGAGTATGACTCAAATAATAAAAGTGAAAAAGAAGAAAATATAAAAAAGAAAAAGAAAAAATGGAGAAAGAAATACATAGAGATGGAAACACTAGAGTTTTCAAAACAGAATGCCTGCAATTTATCACCTATATTTATACTAAATAAGCATCCACTGAGATTAAAAAAAAATTTTAAGATGTCTAAGATGGCTGATGAAAGTTGCATATATCATACATAATGCAGTAGCAAAATCCAGCAACGTATTCTGGTGTCTACGCTATTTAATGATAGCCATGCAACATTACATTGATGAACTAACCTGCAGACACGGGCAGGAAAATACAGGTTCTGCCAAGACCGACAGAGGTACTTAGAGTGATCAATAACCCGAATCCAGTCTAACTCATCCATGGACACCTCAATGTAGTAGGAATAAGACCTATGGATTGACAGAAAACCACTGGTTAGAATACAAGCAGACACATCTTAGGTATTAAATTTTACACTTCCTTATGGATTTTCCGTTGTGCTGAAAAAAAGGCTCATTTGTTCCTACCCACAGACCTGTATGCAAGATATCTAGAAGAGATTCCTACTTTCACACTAGCTTTGAAAATAAATTCACATGCAGTTACGTTAAGACATGTTTTCAGAATGACTTAAAACATCCTAAAACTCACAATCTGCAGGAATTAGATGGCACCACTGTCCCTCAAAAAATGCAATGGAAACTTTCAACTCAGTCATAAAAATAATCATTTGTACTCCTGCGTGGAATGAATCTACAACACTAATGACAGTGATTAGAATGAAGTATAAACTCCATTTATGGATCAGCAAATTGTGAAATACATATTTCAGAATATTTTATTTCTTTTAATCTACTAGCCTGCAACATTCACAGGCATTTCAACAGCACCATGATAGCACTTATCCTCCTTCCACACCAATTTCTTAAAGAAGAGCTGCTCTTTCAGAGTTCCACACAGACATTTTTTGTTAAACATTAATGTCTGTTAATATTTCAAATTTTTGCACTGGGCCTAGAGGGTTAGATGTAAGAATTTTTAAACAGTACCGTTTCAGACAATCTTAGATAAAACTGTTAATACCAATTTATGCACTTAGAAAGATAATGCAGCCTTTAAGATGCCAATTGCATAATCAGCTTTCACGTTCACACCAACCAGGTGTGTAATATTCACAACCCATATAAATACCCTGTGTTTTAGCAACATTATTTTTACTAGACCTTGCATATTTGACTGAACTAGGCTCCAGCATTTTAGAGTTTCAGCAGTTTGGATCCAAAAGTTACTGTCTGTCCTCTGTGTGGTGAGACTTGAGGGATTCTCACATCATCATCGCTAGACTAATGTAAATTTATAATCAATATACATCATGTTATTTTTTTGGTTTCTGAAGGTACCAAGCAAAGAAAAATTAACTTAAAAACACAGTTCCATTATCATACACAAGACTATGCCTTTTATTTTTCTAAAGGATAGTGTCTTTTTTTGCAGAGATAATTTGGACAGCTAGTCTCCTTCGCACTTTTGTAGCTACAACTGATCTGTTAATAACACCTCTGAACAGGTGCAAGACACCTGTTTTTTATATTTGGTTATATGAACAATGTAAATGATCTATATAAAGATAGCCAACAGACCAGAGCTCAAAAGAGACAGTTAAAATGAATGTGTAGTTTAAAAATATGCTGAACAACAAGCCACCATGAGCTTGTACAGTGGCCAAAAATCTTTTGGAGACTTTATTCATGCATTGCATGAGAAAGATGCAGAAAGAGTGAAGGTTAAAAAGGATCTCCAGAGTAAGTGAGGACAATCAGGGCAAGGTTTTGGCTGGTAAAGTTCTGCATACCTCGAAGGACTGATACCCATAACCTCTCTGGGCAAACTCTTTCCAAGTTCAACTACCCCATTATGAATTCTTTTCCTAATATTTACTAGGAATTTCTCTCATTGCTTGCATCCTCTGCCCTCTCAGCACACAGCTCTAAGAAAAGTCTGGCCCTGTATTCTCTATATTCTTCCATTAAATAGGCGAATACAGCAACAAGTTCCCCCTTCTAAGCCTTTTCTGCTGATAACAGCAAGTTCTCTCAGCATCTCCTTGTACATTGCATGCTCAAGCCCTTGGCATCTTG